ATAATAAATAAGTCTAGTATTAAAGATATTTTAAGAACCTATTAAGAACCTGTTTTGCCTAAGTTGTCAGTAAATACCCCAAAACATAAGAACCTATTTTGCCAGTCATGAAAAAAACTAGGTTCTTACACGCGGGTTTTACTGTAGTTTAACTGTGCTTGTGTTACATTGTTGTTTAGACGCCAGTTTCGTGATTTTCACTACCAAACTGTCGTTATTGCGAACAGCGGGTTACCTTAGTTGCCGAAAACGCCCAGTTGAAATATGAATTTCTTTATTGTGAGAATAAAAAGGAGGGTCCCGCTAAACGAAAACCGCAAAACCGCCAAAACATCTAGCCGTGAAGCGTAAAATTGGCAAATTTTAACCGTTAGTTGTAAAAAAAAAGTTAAGCGCAGATTTTTTTTCCCATCTACTATGACTAAAGTGTCATTTTAAAAGTGTTGTCTTGTGGCTACTGCGGTTACGACGGTTACTCAATTTATCTATCCTATCCTGGTACCAAAAACAAAGACATTTGGTACAGGCAGGTCCCGCAGAGTGATATTGCGCGAACCGGAAGTGTCTGCTTCTCGCGCGTGGGACGAGTCGACGGACCGCTGACCATTTTTTTAAGACCTTCAGTTTGTTCATGAATTGTGGCTTTTCCGAAAGCTGTTATCAAGCCTACCAGGAATAAATGGCGTAAGATTGGCCAATCATATTCTTTTAGTAAGTACGGTGACCTATCTTTTTTATTGTGGTTCTCGAAACAGAGATTGTTGGCAACATTCAAGGAAAGTCAAAGAAATTGTTCGAAAATTTTCATTTCTGAGGAACCACATTGAAGGTTGAGACTCCATCTTCGGGTGCGAGATATCTCAGTAAAAGAGTTCATCTATCGCGGGGAGAACGCAAGGCTGTAAGACATGAGAAAGATAAAACGAATGATCCATCCAAAAATATTTAATAAAGATCACTAAGGGAAAAGAGTTAGCGTACGTTAAAGTTACTCACTGAGCAATGCTATCTTGGGCGTTCTTTAATACCTCATTGAAACTTCATGCAGGTTAAAGGGTCTATCCGCTGCAATAAGCGTCAAAGTTAGTTAACGCACTGTGTTTGAACAGTTCCATTAATGCCGTGTAGAACAACACTACTCTATGTTTGTAGCACGCTTTAAATCATCGGCAAGACTCCCCTCACGGAAACACGATACAACATTTTTCTGGAGGAGGGGAAGGGAAACGGGGTGGAAAGGTTAACTTAAAGATGACAAAAGGGATCGAGTTGAGGTAACACTGAGGAGCTTGAAAAGGTCAATGCGTCAAAAATTTTGTCACCGACCGTAGGTATAAAATATAAGTTACCTTAGGGTGAATCAGAAAATTTTGTCATTAATCAACTGCTTTGCATCAAGATAGTCTCGATGGGGTCTGCCCGTGATGGAAAATCTCTTTTGGTTAACTTTGAGTTAAACTAGCAAAATAATCCATGTAGCACCTTAAATCTTCTTTCATCGACGTCTGTACACCGAATGCAAATATGGCGTCCAATTTGAGTTGCAATTGTTCTGGACTCACTAGCCTCGTCTTCACGTGGAAACACAAAAGGATTATTACATGTGTTGGAGGCTAGTGAGTCCAGAACAATGGCAACTCAAATTGGACGCCATATTTGCATTCGGTGTATGATAGCGCCAAATATTAATGACAAATCTAAGATCAGTTAATTCGTTCCCAAATAACCTATTTATTTTCCCTTTATTTCATTTATTTACACTAATGCAGAAATATCTGACTTCCGTTCGGATACACTTAGCTTCGAATAGCGTGCAAAAACCATAAACTGTTTACTTTAACTTCTGATTTAAATCCAAAAACATTTCTAGCTTTTATTAACCATAAATGTTGGACTCATGTTGATTCCCTCAACTCACTCGATTTAAAGTTTGATCTGTATGTCTAATCTTCCTCTTGCCTCTTCTATAACTAATAGGAAATTTGCCTTCTCAAAATTTTGGCATTGCATCGTTTTAGAAAAAAAACTTAGCTAGTCTTAGATCCCTTTAAGTCGCCGAAAGGTTAAATAGCTCTTCATTCTTGACATCTAACTGGCTTGTGCGGCAGGTTTTTTTAATGAGTCACATCTCCATGTTGTTGAAGCTAAGTTCACAACATTTTGCACCTATGTGTTACGTTATTGGTTTGCTTATTGTCTAACGCGTACACCACTCATCCCATAGACTCCACTGAGCATGTCAGCCCTAAAGGTAACAGATACTCGGCACACTCCCACGCGGTAAGGCGTCAGTTTGAAATTTGTTACAACTTCCTTTCCTTCTGGCACAATTGCACTGAAAAGAAAAATAGACGCGGTTTTTTTGGATTTCTCCCTTAATTTTTTTAGAAAGTTGACATGAGCCATCCTTGGGTCCAGATTATTCTACGAACAACACCTTAAAAACGATGGATGTGCCGGTAAGTTGGGGCTTTTGCAGATACCGAGCAACAGGGCAAGTCAAGCCGGCATTAAAGTGGTGGATGGGAAGAATTTTAAGACAACTTCTGCATACTTCAACCTCATCAGTGCCAGTGTAATCGAATTCAAGGCCTTTTATCACAGTAAATTCTCCTATAGACAAAGAGGTTAGTAATATGCTTCACCTCGCAGCAGGCTCAAATGTTTCGGTGTGTACAAAAAATGAGTAAGCGGTTAAGACAAGTTGTCCTCCGAACAGCTGTGAACTTAATGGATAATTCAGTTKAAAAATATATGGACTTCATATATATTCATTGTATCTGATTTATCATCACGGGTTTATTACGACTCAACTTAATGGCCTGCTCCCAGTTGGCTTGTTAGCTCAATTGGTAGAGCGCTGCACTAGTATCGCAGAGGTCAGTGGTTCGAATCCCGTACAGGCCTGATTTTTTTCAGGTCTGATTTTCGCTATTGCATAAATAGCGCTATCTACTGCGAAGGATCGTGCATCATACGTATTAATGGATAATACTTACGAATTAGGAATTGTTTTTGATTTTGGGTTGGCACCCGATGTCTCGATGTACCACTGTCCTCCACTGACTCTGACAGGCAAAGGATTTACAAAAGACACTTTGACCTCAAAGTCTTGGCCTACTAAGGCCTCGCCACGAGTGATCTGAAAGAATATCAAATTGCAGATAATCTTTACATTACCTTAAATTATTCAAAATCAATTGCTCTAGGGGTAAACTGAGAATAGAGCAGCGGTCAGCCGTTCTCCGTGATTTTGTACGGAATAGATAGATGGAAAAGTGGAAGCTACCTGATTTATATTTGAGTGAAATCGATAAAATCACGGCACTACCACGCAACACTCGTACCAGTTAAACCACCTTCCAGTTAGGGCTGCAAACCGAAATTCCTTTAATATCTTGGTTGGAATTTTTGTAAGTAAACAGCTCCTGAATGAAACTTTTCAGATCTCTCCATTACTTTCATAGATGTATGCAATGATTGGCCAAATATATTAATAACGACGTCATTTGCTCATTTACATACTGATGGGCGTGCAGCGAGTCGATAACAGATCGCTTCAAAATTTAAACCAGCTTATCTTACTACTTGTAACGGGGTAATTAACTCGATCCAGGCTTGCATATAGAAAGATATCAAAGACACGGTACAAGTGTGAGGGGAGAAGTCTTCCTGTTTACCACTGGCAGTGTCTTACTCCGCAAACTTACGCACTATTTTAAAGAGTTTTCAGTGTACCCATTTTCTCAACCACACCCAAAAAATTCATTTTTCAGAGTTTGGGGTTGGTTCAAGTCATTTGAAAGTTAGGTAACCTACCTCCATGTTTATGCGGGGCTTCTGAAAATCAATTGTGTCATACGAAGCAAACCTCTGCTCACTCTCTTTCACTGTTGCTTTGACATAGATCTTCAGACCTCCATCGGCTTTACATTTGTCAAGATACAGAGCCGCAGGAATATCCAAGACAAAGCTCCTCTCTGAAGTGGAGTAAATTTACAGTAAAATGATTAAGAAACAAAAACTCATCTTTCAGGAAGAATTTCACAAGGATTAATGGATGTTCCGCTTACCTTCCCACGGGTCTAAAGTGATCTCAAAGTCTTCCTCTTTCAAATCCTTGGAAGGAATTCCTGTGTAGAATCCAATCATTGCAGTGATCTTTCCCCTGACTGCCCGACTTTTGTAATTGGTGTTTTTCATCTTCAGTGACACACTTACGTCCTTTCCTATGGGTACATCATCCGGCAATTCGAATGAGAACTTCACGTCCTCTGTCGGGAGTCCATAAATGGCTTGATCCTTGCGGCTGCTGTACTTGTAGGCCATCTCCACAGCTCGGCGTTCCTGGACAGAGCCTAGTGATGATTGAAATGATAAATAAAGGTGAACACTGACTCATCAATAAACCTCTTTTCAAGTGAACGGCAGAATAATGAACGTCACCCGTAAAAAATGAAAGGGCACGTGAAAATTAGGAGACGGCCGACTTAACAATGTTAAAGGGTTCGGGGGAAAACTGAACCATTAAGCTGCTTACGTTGTAATTTGAAGAAGCGCTAACTGTTTGTCTTTTTCGTTTTACTCTCAAGCTTCTTCTTCGTGCTAGGGCCTCACTTCGCGAATTCTCCTTTCTTTACTTGGATAACGCAATAATGACATGCTAAATCTCATACTATTTCATTTTACTTCAGTTCTTCCAATCAAGAAAGACCTGTAGTGATTGCAAAAATGAACCTTAAAAGATGATGTGGCAATACTGATTATGGAAACTAAACCACATAATGACGAATCTTTGAGCCCCTACCATGTCTTTTGGCGAAATGGTGAACAAATACGCAAGAACATCCCCCGAAAAATTGTGAACGAAGCTGATCAACGAGATCTTTCTATCATTCATATAGCATTATTTGCTGGGCCATCTCAAGAAAAACATGTCATCCCCGCCTCCATGAACCACTGAGAATACAATGATCTTTACCAAACCAAGAAAGACTCGTCTCCTCTTGACCAGACATATTTTTGGAGACCTTTACCTTCAGGATGTTTATATTGGTGAGTGATATCATCCCTATCATCGCTGCCCTCAGCTTTGGTGCTTATCATCTTTCCAATGCACTTCTTGTCCACTCTTATTACCTTCATGGATCCTCTCTCTGCAACTTCCCAAAACACGCGGTCGCCATTTACCTCAGCGAACACAAAGGACGTGTCGAATGGTAAATACACTTCACCTTGTTTGATAGCCTTCACTGAGGCAGGACCACAGCGAAACACTCCTTAAAAGTAAAAAAAAAGGGGTAAGTTTCTAAAAGAAATTATAGTGCTGCGTCGGCGGGGAGTACAACAAGATAATTTGGTTTTATCAACTGAGTCGATGATGTAAACTGGCAAAAGTAAAGAGTTCGAAAAATGACGTTTCGAGCATAAGCCCTTCGTCAGAGCGAATAGAGGAATTGTGGGCTGTGTGTGTGTGTTTATATGCAGAAAATGGAGCTACGCTATTGGTGGGAACATGGTAACGAGAAAAACAAGAATAAATTAGTTGAATGAAAAGCGATCGTTGATACTGTGGGGACTGAGTCGAATTAGGAGTGCTGATTTGAAAGTTAAATTTTTGTTCTAGAGTTTTGCGGCTTTCTCGTTAATTGTAAAGTTCCCGTTTATCCTTTTGAAAATTCAATGAACTATTTTGCCATATTGATCTCCAACCCCACATTTCATTTGTGTGACTGTGTGTTTAAGTACGAAAATTCTGACAAGCTAAAAGAAACTCGAGATTAGGAAAGGATGTTGTAAAAATATGCTGTTTTAGCTTTTCAGATTTTAGGATTAAAAAAAACTTTCCCACCAAAGCTTGTCTCTTGGGGTGTGGCATCATGCGCCTGCCATCCATCATGTCCATCTGGTAAATCAGGACGCTTGAACCATGACTCGTTCCACACATGGAAATTCCTGATAACAAACAGATTAAGTGTCGGAATATGAAATCGCATTTCTTCCTTTTAAGTAACTGCTGTACCTTTAGAGAAAGTCTAGATGTTGTTCGTCTTGTCACGAACGAGGGACAAAGAAACAATTCCCATGAGTCCTCATGAGGAATCAAACCCTAGACTTTCGGATTCCGCGCTCCGATGCTCTACCACTGAGCTACCGGCACTATAGTGAGCAAGGCCCACTAAGAAGTTCATATATGACACGCATCCCATATACTGCTAGGATCAGCAATGTCGATAGCGTCATGTTTGTAAACAGAATAAGAAAGATGGTAAATTTCGAGCTCGGTAAGACAGTACCTTTGCTTGTGAAGAAAAATATATTAGATTGTTTTATCATTAAATTCTGGGACGTAATCTACATGACTGAAGTGTGGAAGCTTTTATTATTAGTGCTATTTAGAAATTATAAAATGTTACTCAAGAAACTCTTAGCTATATTTGTAAAGCGAGACAGCTTGACAAAAAGTTGGACGCTATTGCAACATGGTAAGCGCACTGGTTGGTGGCTTGGAAACTATCTCTTGCGCTCAACAGTTCAGTATTTACTTGTGATGCATGATCCTCGCAGTAGAGAGCGCTATCCATGCAATAGCGAAAATCAGACCTGAAAAAAATCAGGCCTGCACGGGATTCGAACCACTGACCTCTGCGATACTAGTGCAGCGCTCTACCAATTGAGCTAACAAGCCAACTGGGAGCAGGCCGTCAAGTTGATTCGTAATAAACCCGTGATGAAAAATTAGATATAATGTATATATGAAGTTCATATATTTTGAACTGCGGTATTAGATACGTGTGATGTATTTATAGTTCAGTATTTATAGTAAACTGTACACGACACTCTAATGCACTGCTGAGTTTTTCTCTAAAAAGATGTGGAATATTTGACAGTATATCTTCTCACCAAACAGAATCGTCCATTTCCTTTAGTGGCTTGCCGTCTTGGTCAAAATGGAAGTCAACAGTCATGCTGGCGTCTGAGTCATGCGCTGAGGCGAAGTTTGTTACTGATCGCGTCGGTATGCCTATTGCCCGCAACACTGGAAAAAAAAAACAAGAATAATTTGAAAAATTCTTAATATGCAATTATATTTACTGGCGGACACCTAGGAACCATCGCTCAACAAGTCCAGAGATGAAGATGGAGATGGATCGTCCACCGGCTTCGCATACCACTATTAATCCTAACCAGAATCACTTTCCGCCTCCTCAACCCCTAATAGACTGACAATTATTATTTGAAAGATAATTTCGGAAATGAACTTTTGGAGTCCTGCCGCGTGCAGAAAAACATCGGCAAAGTTAGAGCATTGAAAATTTACGGCCTAAGAAAACAGTGGATGTGTTTTTTCTCATACAGTACGAAGTGCGATGCGACGCGATGACTGCTTGTTACATTGACTAGAACACATACATGTTGTAACGAGTCCTGAAAAGACCCAACACTGAGCAAACTTGACAACATTCTTCTTCTGCCAGAACTTTTCTAGGATGGCGACACTGCCGGACCATGCTGTCGGAGCAGTCGTGTCTTTGGGATAGTCGTTATCCCAGCGGCCATAAAGAACACCACCGTCTTTATCATTAAAGTTTGCCTACAGGTTTGGACCAATGAAATTCATTAATTATTCCAAAATACATAAACTGTACTGCCATTGAAATGCAAAAAAACGGTTGATCCATCAACTGACTCAGTCTTACCATGGCAGAGATGCAGCGCGTGACTCTGACAGGATTTGCACGCGCAGCTGTTCCGAGCTGTCCTCTTTCCAGAAGCCACAAACACGTGTTCAGTGACACATCCTCAAACTATAAGAGGAAGGAAATGAAAAATGTCTAAGTACTGAAATTACATGAAAAGGATGGGGAGACTATAATTGAGAGATGCTAAAAAATGGTTTTCAAGGAAGCCATGGGGGCCAAAGGCCGTGCTACAGGCTGCAAAATTAGGCTTCTTATTGTGCGGTCTGTTTATTCTTGAAGGGTCATTATGCATTTTGGTTAAAGGACAGTTTACCCATTAAATACTTTTGATATTCCCAGATGTTTCATTAATACCGGTAAATTGTCAACCCTGAAGAAGTGCTGTAACTCAGGTATGGGACAGACTTATATCCCATTTAGAGACGTGACAAATTTGTTAGTCGTCACTCACTTCAAAAAACTGAGAAACACTTTTAAGAGATTTCATATATCTATCTTTGCACGAACATGAATGCTTCAGTCGTACTTATTCTTACAGTGCGCACTTTATCAACTGACCTGGCCAAAGTTCCATGGCATCCCACAGTTCTTCTTGGCGGTTCCCACCCATATGAGCCCACTGTCATTAAGCACGTATTCCTCGCGCGAGGTTTCTTGGTCCAGACACACAGTGTCATCTTGTAAACGGAAGAAAGACATTACTAGGGTTTTCTCTTAATGTGTACATCCCAATTTAAGTTAATAAGGGCCACCAAATGAGAATATCGTACTTCCTCGAATATACACCCATGGTCTAATAGACGCCCACGATCTATTAAGCGCCTACGCTCTAAAAAGCGCCCTCCCTGAATTAGCACCCACCCCGAGGCCAATCGTTAAACAAGCGTCCCCCTCGAATAAGCGCCTCCCCTCCTTTATCTCTTTCCTAAATGGTAGGGATACAAGGAAAACCTGTTTCTATTACCACTTTATTTATGACTGTTATAAGTTTTACCTACAGCGGGATCAGTACAGGAGAATAGTTTTTCTCAGTTAAGTCATTTCCAGTTATTTCTAACTACATGCGCTTGTAAGGGTTCTTCTATGTGCGCTACCTGCTCTTTAAATTTTTTTCCTATTGCCGCGCCGATTTAAAAAGCACTCCCCTTGATTGAGCGCCCTCCATCGAATAAGCACAGTTTTGAATAACTGCCCGGGTGCTCATTCGAGGAAATACGGCAGTCTTCGCTCTTATCAACCAGTGAGTGAGATATATTGAGATATGTAATAACTTGAACAGTTCGTCCATATGAACAGTTCGCCCTATGATATTTCAGGATGTACAATGTCATTTAGGGAAATCTTACAAACAAAACTTCTAAAGGTGCATTGAAAAACAAACATGAAAAAAAGTCGGGATCACTTACCTTTACACCATGGGTTAAACAACATAATGATTTCCTCCGGATGCTGATAACGAAAATCTGTTTCTTTTTCTACACCCGGCACACTGGTCTTGGTTTCTACATAAAGGTGGTATCTACCCACGACAGCGTCAGGTGGCGAGGTTATTTGAAGGCGCACCCTTTCTTGATTGGTCTGTGCGATCTTTGCTGACCATGCCCCGTGCACAAATTCTCTGGTCAGACTCACTGGCACCCTGATAATGGTTCCTTTACTTTCTTGCGGTCGGTATCCTAAAGGATTAATGGAAGTTTCCAAGTAAGTAAAATAGAATAGAAAGAGTTTATTTGGACTTGAAATGGCTGTTTTGAAGAATAGGATGAAGAACTCAGGCATTTGGTCAATTTTTGGCTTTATTTTTCTCGGGTCTGCGAGTTCAGTTCCATGAGCCTTTCAGGCAACAGCCTGCAGTGTAGGCGTCTTATTAAGCCAAGTTAACGTTTTAAAAGAAGCTCGTAATCAGTTCTTAACCGGCCATGTTTACTTTGGAGATAGAGGCGACGGTGTGGGGAGGATGGAATATTTGCTGTGTTGCAGAAATATCTAATATCTGCTAAAACTTACCGACCGCAAATTGCAAGGTTACTGTATCTTTAGAGGCATCATAAGGCCTGTTGAATATCACTGTGACGTCAAAATCCTGCCCTCTCCTCGCAATCAAGTTTGAGTGTTCGTATTTGTCAGTGTGGTGGTTACTTCGATTCTCGTCCTTGTGCAGGTCTATATCCTTTGTTGTCAGTTGCTCAGCTGAAAAGATGCATTTTAGAAGTTGGTAAGACGTTGGCGGGGGGGGAAGCCTTCTTGCAATAGGCTAATGGGGATGTGCCGCTAGATGAGGCCGCATTTTCACGACTGGATTGATTATGATGTGGTTCCATTTTTGATAGAGTCAATAAGAACGAAGTCGCAAATTTTGGGATCTTATGGAGTAGGAAAATTCTGGTAATTAGGGATTTAAAAATGGGAAGATTTGCAGTTACCAGAATGAATAATGTTGACAGTAGAATAGAATATAATGGAATATGAGTTCTAAGAGGCCAGCGGCGCATACCCTGCAAAAATTTACCTGAGTAGGCCCCTTCACGGGGTGCGTGTTCACAAGAGTTAGTTCCTCGACAAGAACTTGCTAATGATTCCAGGGCATATTTCTCACTGCCTTAGACGTTTATTTAGTTTTGAGGAACTACATGATACTTCTAGTTTACGTTACAGGTTGCTTAGGGCAGCTTTGAAAAGTTTTGGACTCATTTTTCAAAGTACGCAAACCAAGACAAAGCTACCTGAGATTTTAAAAAATGAAAACACAGTCATGTGCGTTTTGAACAACAGACTTGGTTTCGCTCTCCTTTGTGGATGGTATTTTGTTGAAGTAAAAAGTAAACAAAGAAATAAAATGTAACTTAATTTGTTACCGGTACCATGTTGTTGGTGATTGGATATCGCCAGAGCCTTGCTATTGTTTCGGAACTCTCTATCAGAGATCACTATTGCGCGACCACTGACTCCGTCACCTAGCCTGCCACACCTTACACGTTCGGCCTCATCCCTGAAAATTACCATAAATAGAGACTGAATACGCATGTGCGTATGTCGTATATGTGACGACTCATAATCACATCCTTCGTTCCTAAATTAAACAACATGGTTAAACTTGTATTTACTAAAAATCTCCTCACTCCTATCGTGTCACTTCGAAGCTCGAATCCCATCTGTCGTGGAATTCCGCGAGTTTGAACTGTAGGAACTGGGAACTAGCTAGAGGCCTGGCTGTAAGCTCGGAGGCTTGGCAGCTTAGGAAGTTAGACCGATAACGTGTTTCGAGTGAACGAAAACCTTTGAACAGACGACAATTTTAACTTCGTAGTGGAATTGTAAATTTAGAGTTTCAACGGAAATGTGACTGCATCCTCGGCGACACCATCGAAGCTATTCAAACCTCTTGTCTGCAATTGCTTAAATTGCTGCTCATACGGGAGGATCATAGCTTTATTTGATTCAGTCTGCAAGTCGAATGAAATTTGTTCCACAAAATTGTACCGCTTTCCCACTGATCTAAATGCTAAAGTTTCCCTTAGGACATTGCTTTTAGCTTTTCGTTGGCCGAGACGGCTTATTTTTGTTTAGAAAGAGTTTGCTCTCGAGCATATCTTATCAATTTAAACTATTTACTGGGACTTGAGACGCTGTGCATGAGAAATTGGCGTCTTGTCCGACATTCTTTCCTCTGTGAGAGGTCGTCGAAAAACTTTGTGAGTAGTTGAAGTTGCAACATTCGAACTACTGTCGATAGTTGATTCGAATTATAACTTTTTTGGACAACAGTAGTCAGAAACTTTTCTAATGATTTTTCTAAGCGAAATAGAAGATTGAAGCCGCCGAGAGACGGAGCCACCTGATTTACATCATCCTGTTGGTCTAAGAGTCGGAAGACTAGATGACGAGAGAAAGAACTTCACAAGCATTTCCACAGACTATAACAAGATTTAATTTGCAAAAGATGGTGCTTGGTTTACAGATCATTCTGAGGAATTGAAAGGATTCTCAGTTACTACTGAAAGTTTGGAATTAAATCGTTTCAACCAAAAGCTGAAATTTAACTACTGGTACCGACGAATAGTCATCAGACTACTCGGCTTTTGCCCATTCATAAAATACAGAGGCTATGATTTATGTGTTAAGACCGAGAAGAACTCAAACATAGCCGGCTGTTGTTTCAAGGGGACCGATCGACATACTAAACACACAACTCCGTAAAATAAACACAATTTCATTCAAACTGGTATCCTGGTGAAGTCAATATCCTAATTCTAGGAGATGAACCCTTAAAATGAGCGAAAAAAGGCATTTTAACTAAGCCACACGCAGGCTTTAAGAAAGCAGAGATACAGTCTAGAACGGACATTCATTATGAAGAAAATCGCACCTACTGTCTTGTGCTGGCCATGGGGATCCTAGATCACTCGCGGAATGGAAATACACTGTAGTAGAAAACTGAACGCGCGGTTTTAGAAAAACCAAACCTATCTGTGAAATGAAGAAAATTTCTTTTCCATCTCCGTTTATCCTCTCCGTTTTGATCCTGGGCGTTTGATAAGATTTTCCTTGAGAGGGCTCTTTAAAGTCCTCCTCTGAATTTTGCGATCTTGAATGTCCTGTTTGTCGGAATAAATTTTTGCGTTGGACGAGAGCGAAGGTTGTCATCGTTTTCGTAAGAACGAACCCGTTTTTCCGTTCGGATGAAATTGTTCAAGTCTCGAATTGTTCATCAAAATATCGGTATGTTTATGTTTCTTTTTCCTTCACAGGAGGTTGTCACATTACGATATAATTTTTCCCAGCTGCAATTTTTTGATGCACTGCTGGGCCTTTCTTAAGAGCAACTACAGACTCAATCAAAGCACCAAGAAAAATGTTGTTAAGAACAGTTTTTTTCTACCGGTTATCTCACTTGGCAGATGGATTGTTTAGTGAAATAGCGTCTTTGAATTTTGGTGCAATTACCGCGTAGTTCACCGTTACGTTTCCAACGAATGATGCGAATCGATTCAGAATCAGCTGGAATACTGATATAAAGTAATTTAAAATTTTATTTTTCAGCCCTGAGGAAACGTTTAATTAGCCAGACCTTCCTAAGAGGACTCCGTTCAGTTTTGTTTACGCCCAAACTGCGTGTATCTGTTTCAGCGAAGATTGGCGGTTTTTATGGTACCTGTAATGCGGCCGATGCTGTTTCTTATTGTTTAAGTAAAATCTTTGGAGGGGGGATGTTTCGTTTGCTTCAATAGGATAAATCAAGCAATTTCATTGGCTTGAACGTCCATACAACGAAAAAACCCATTACTTAGAACGTTTGGGATACAAATATTTGCAAAAAGCGTGGCATGTTTTCTTTTCCTTCTCCTGAACCTCTCCTAAACACAACACAATGATATTTTTCCAAGTGATTGCAAATTGGAGTGATCGCCAAAGACCGGAAGTGTTCCTTCCCATTTTCTATTTCATACTATACTTGCTGGAGATTACACAATAAACAGAATTTTTTTGAGCTAATTGCTATTTTAATACTTCATTTTCTCGTGATTCACGGAACATTTGCCTGGAAATTGGCACATCTATTTATCATTGTGATTGTGGCCTGAGCTCTTCCTTGCAACTGAAGGCTTAGTAAATTCGCTGGATCGATATCTTTCAAAATTAATAGAAAACGTTTTGAATCTGTGATTTTTTTTTTAATCTTGTCTCTTGTATTTACTTTGTTGCTTTGATCTGATCAATCAGTTAATAGGTTTCTTATCTTCTTGATCCTGTATGAAAAGGAACTTATATTATTCTAGTTGAGGAAAGTTTTTGTAAATTTTTGAGCTAGAAAGACACCCCTATATTCGAGGATAGTACTGTTGAGGTTTCCTGTTTGTTCGGCAGTTGAATTTTTCCTGACTTATATTAACTAACCTCGCATTTCCATCAGCTGATGATACAGTACGAGCGCCAGTTGAATTTGTAGAGCTGACTGCTCGGGTTGAACTCGTGACTGGTTGGCTGGACCTCGTGATTTGTCGGCTTGAACTGGTGACTGGTCGGGTATAGCTAGTGATTGGTCGGCTTGTACTCGTTTCTGGTCGGCTAGAACTCATGACTGGTCGGTCATAACAAGTGATTGGTCGGCTAGAACTCGTAATTAGTCGGCTTGAACTTGTCGGATAGGAGGAATGATATCTGGCAGATCTGCTTTCTGTTGGCCTTGTATTACCATATGTTCGTGCTGGCACGGTATAAGACGATGTCCTTGCATAGTGAAACCAAATTAAAAACTCAAACCGTTTTAGAGACATTTTTTTTTCAAACTAACTTTCGTCCTTTCATAAGCCGATTGCCTTATCATTATTTTTAGTTTTGCATTTGATTGGTTGAGAGGATGTTTAGGCTCGATATCTCGCTCTTTCCAATCCGGACCGGGAGAGGAGGGAAGGCTTGAAACGCAGCGTTTACGCTTCTTTGCTTGTGCAAACATCCAACAGGATTTTGTTTTTGAAAAAAAATTCAATTCCAGGATTTTCATGTAACTGATACCAAGCATTTACCTTGGTGCTCCTGTGGGCTGGTTAGCATCAGACACCCTCTCTGGTCCATAACCTGCAGTAAATCTGAAAAAGAAATTAATGTCTCTGCGTTTGTCGTTCAACAAGTTCTGCGCCGAAAATCAACTGATGAAACGAACGAATTGAAAATTGTTTCATAACTAAACGCAAGTTCTTACTTCGGAGTTCCGTGAGTAGAAAGAGTATCGCGGACACTAGTTGACCCAACGCCAGAACTAGCAGTGCTGAAATGCGCTGAACCGCCTGTTGAACCTGTAGAATTGACCGTGAATGGGTGCGGTTTGAGAGGATAACTAAGGGTATATGAGGGCCGAGTTGTCAGTCTTGAAAATGATCCAGTGGGCTGGCCGAAATCAGATGCTCTCCCTGATCCATACGATGCAGCAGCTCTGAGAGAAGAAAGTAACAGCCTGTGATTGTCGTTCGACAAGTTTTCCGCGGATATCGACTAATTGGGCAGACAGCCATTGACAACCGAGAAGGAACTTCGTCTCTTCGCCTGTTCGGAAAAGGAGCGCGGGCTCATTACCCGAACAGGGGCTGGTGATCTATTCTACAGGCTCGTGCTACAACAAAACTCGTAGACATCTATATTTATACAGGATAGCC